AATGCTTTCTTCTTAAATGAAATATTAAAAACAATGCAGATAGTTATTTCAGTGAACATCCTTTGTTTGACAGTTTATTGATTCAAATCACTAATTTTCAGCTCCCCTAAAAAAAATCCTGACAATTTTTTATACATTATAAAATATTTTGGCAGCCTCTTGGCAGAGATTTAAGAAAAAATAGTTCCGTCTGACAGCATACTGATCTGGATCACTGATTCGTCAATTAAATACCTATAATGGTGTATTATTTATACAATGAACAGTCTACTAAATACTAACTTGGATCACTGATTATTTTAATACTTCTATCATATGTAACCCTTCACCCCTCCGAATGTTAAGATACAGCGATATTCTGAAGGTGATTTCGAAAAATAGGTCTGTCTGACCACACACTGATTTGAACCACTGATTTTTTTATTTCTGCTTCTACCGAATGTTTCTACTTGTCCGCGTTTTTCTCATCTTTCTCGAAATGTTACAGTGGAATCAAATTAAAATTGTACAGTCGCTTCCTCACAGTAATTTCAACAAATAGCCTCTTTCTGACTGTATATAAATTCAGATCACTAATTTTCCAATAGGTGTTACTAATTTCTGATAATTTTACTCCAATAAATTAAGTTTTTCAAATAAAACAGCGATCTCCAGTCGATTATTAAAAAAAAAAATAGTCAGGTCTGACCATACACTGACCTGGATCACTGATTTTTCAGCTTTTTTCCTCCGAATGCCGCTACTAATAAATGATCCAACACTCATACTGTCTCCTCTCAAAAGAAATCTTAAAAACTAAATAGTATACTCATAATGTATAATAAAAAAAGTATATCCGATTTGTTGAGACGTTTTCACATGATGAACAAAAGCTCAGCGGGCTTGCGAATACACTCCAGTCTGCTTTTTTTACTTTACGCCTCGATCTTTTCTTTTTACCATGTCGTCGATACTTACTCGAGACGTTAGCCTTGTGTTCACCATTGAACAAAAAAAAAAAAAAAAACCAATGGATTGACCTCAAGGAGCATCTAGTTCTTGCACGACGAAACGCGCTGAAGCATCAGACGCACAAAAATTCATGCAACGTTCCTCAGCCGCGGGGAGTCAGAGAACTCAAACGAACAGCCACCCCTCGGCAGGGAGAAGCCGACGGAGGAAGAGAAAAGGAAGAGTAACGCGAGCAAAAAGACAGAGCGAGAGCTCACTCCATTAGTATGCGCGGAGGAGCTCGTGGCTCGATTGTAGCCGATGCCATTGTAACCGAAGAATGTCCTCGTTGTCGGCGCTACCCATATAGCTGTCGTCGTCTTTGCGCCGGACTCCCAGATAAGGATTCAACCCACCTCACGCTGTTCTCTCACTTGCTCGACGCTGCGCTTCTCCCGTTGAAATCGAGGAGGAAGCCCCTCCCAATCGTCGACGCGGATTTTTGATTCTTCCATTGTCCCGTACGATTACACTTTGGTGTTTATCGAACAACAGGTGACTGTTGGATTTTATAAATTGAAAAAAGAAAAAGCAAATCATACGGATCGAGCGACGAGTGTACATTATATATAAAATCTCCTTACAAACGAGGCCTCCCGTGGACCTTTCTTTTCTATAGCTATAGAGTCAGCAATGAAAATAAAAAGACGCCGCACGTTTTCCCTCAGTTATATGGGTCCTTAAAAAAGTCGGCGATAAAGAGAATAAGAAGAGCTGAAAAGAAAAGGATCGCACGGAGCAAACGAGAGAGTAAAAGGTGTGGTGGTGGGAGACCGGGAAAGGCGTGTGTGTGTGTGGGTACGTATAGAGGAGGCGCTATTCTCCATTCTGGCGTTATCTCGGCCACGGAGAGAAAGCGTGATTGCCTTTATGGGGGAAGAAAGGGTCTTTTGCGGCAGCGATAATGTCCCTCCGCTCGCTCGCCGACGCTATCAGAAATAAAACACGGCGTCTCCCACCCTCCCCTCCAAGAGTGGGGGGGTGTGCACGCCTCAACTCCAAGGAACCCCTTACGACTACAAGGACCTCGAAGGAGCCCTTTGTACAAAGTGGACTTGAAGTTTTCGGGGAATTCAAATGGCGCGAGGTGGGTACACATGAATCAAATTTTTTTTTTTTATGTGCTGGTTGGGTTATTGATAGCTTGTTTTTTTTTTTTTTTTTTGAATAACGATAATTGAAACTAAAAATGTGTGGTAACCAATTCAATCAATGTTAAATCCAAACCAAGTCAAGGTAAAATAATCCAATTTGCTGATTTATCGAAAAGATCAACCATATCAACAGTTTTGTTGCGATAACACACAATGTATAATACATCCTCGAGACGATAGTCGAGAGAGCACGGCGCGAGTAATATGAGCTCCTTCGTCTCCGAGTTGCACGGTAGTTGTAGCCGTGTGTACACACCGCATGAGTAACGGGGTTATCGACGCAACCGCCAATTAAACTCCACCTCGTGGTAGACTCGAGCTTGGCGCACTCGGATGAGTAAGTAGTACCTGGTACGTGTACATATCCGAAGCAGCTCACGGATTGATCTACGTGGGTGGTGGTGATGGCGCAGAGAGCGCGAGGTGTTATTGAATAATGGCTTCGTCGAGTCGCGCCGAGCCAACGAATTAGTCCACACCCCCAATATCCCCCGCTCACTTTGAGATAATCTACCTGGAATTATAGTCGGGTAATAATCGTCCCGATCAGCCGACCGTAATCCAACCTGTTTCTCAACGTATACGTGCACTCAGGGTATTTTAATTTGGTCTTGGATGGAAATATGCTAATGTTGAATCCGTTCCTCGTTCCGAGCGACGCTCATCGATCTTCTTTTAGATCTTGCCTGGAAAGAATGAAATTTCAATGTGACTCAGGTACCTGTGCAGTAAGTAGGCGGTACTTGTGAGGTAAATTGGTTTTCAAGCAAATTAAAGTCTTGACGCCGTGATGTTCAATTAATTTTTTTAATGCGTGGAGCTTAAAATTTATTTACAAATGTCATTTTGTACATTAAATGTATATTATAACGTCAGAGCGTGACATTCAACAATAAGATTCGTTTTTTTTTTCTTGTTTTTTTTTTTTTTTTTTTTATTCTCGCGGAAACTGTATATGAAAATGTGTTAGACATAATACGATGCAGCTACATGTTTGATCGCGAATTTTTTATTTATTTTTTTTTCTTCGCGACTGTTTGTGCTACGTGTACATTGCTACGTTCATTTGTATGATTGATTTTCGAATTGAGTACAAGATTACACATCCATTTACACAGTCCGAATTTATCTACATCGCTATAATATAATAATTATGATTTTTTGGTAGATCACAGTATTTTAAACTACTATACATCTTTTATACTACATAATGGATTGTTTTTTTTTTTTTTTTTTTTTTTTTTCTCATTTATTCAAAGTAACTCTAAAATAAGTCAACATGACGTAAAAAATTTACTTTTTGGTTTCGCACGAAATAATAATAATAATTACATTCACACAACAGCAACAAAATAAATCGCTACGAACAACTGTAAAAATATTCTCGAGGGAAAAAAAAAGCTAGACCTAGATAATCATTCTCATCACTCTCAAATCTATTGTCCAAGCGACACGAGAAGAAAAGACAACTAATTTCTCCGCACCGGCGCATACAACAATATTTACAGCTACCGTGCCTCAATCTAAAATCGCACGTACTTACTTTTAGTCACACAGGGGGGGGGGGGGGTAAACATCTGCAGCTACACCCCATCTCGACGTATTTACACAAAAACACGACATTTTACACACACACACGTCCGTTCTCTCATTCGCATCTGCATCAGATGAGAGGCGCGGGCTTATTTCGCATGGCCTGTCTCCAAAGCGAAGCAGCCCAGATTTGCAACTCGTTGGAGCTTTTTTCTCCCCCCCCCCTCCTCACCCCTTGGCACTCGCTCCCCCCCCGGAGCAAGCTTTTCTAATAGAAAGAAATAAGTCCTCTCGCGCAGTATACAAGCGGGATAGTTTCGGCATAATGCGTTCCGGTTATCTCCTACACACGCTCTCTCTTTGTAGGGATTTCCGGGCTCGCGTTGCCACCCCCCTCGCAATCGTCCTTGTTTGGTACTCGTGTACCGGTTCCGGAGACTTTTTTTTCCCCGGCCCTCTCTCTTTCGCTCATCTCTTCTTTTGATCGACGGGAAAATGCAATTTTTGCAAATAGAAGAACCACGTACGTACGTATGTTTACACTCACGAGAAAAGCGCAGACTCATTTTTGCGCTTAATGGCCGTGAAAATAGTCGTGCCCCTCCCCCCTCCCTTCCTTTTTTTACCAATGATACGTGAATCTGTTTTCCCTCGCATATGTATATCGTGTTGGGGGGGGGGGGGGTGCAGCGTGGATCGTTTGAGTTGGCGGGTATTACTTATGTACGAGCGAAGTTTGTAATTCGGAAAAATATCGCGTGCACCGCGTAATGGAAAATTTATCGAGAGGCGGAAGCTCGAGCGAGTCCGTGATGGATTGCGTTTTTTTTTCTCTCTCGCAATACCCACGTAACGAAATAGTAAATGGATATCGGTATACCCTGCCGTATCTGTTTTCGCGTCACACGCTTGCCTGTGATTTGAAAGAAAAGTTCGATCGCGGTGCACATAACCTTAAAAAACAAACCTCGTGCATCGTCGATTGGGCTGCACATCGGTCCCTTGCCACACCACCACGACCATACATGCGTTGGAAGAAGGATAAAGGACATGCAGTATGATACATAACCTAACTATCGCTGTCGCGCTTACTGAACGCTCGCGACGGACGATGATCTTGGCGCGGTGGTCGTCCTGACGAGGTTCCTGGCCATGACCTGGACAAGTCCGTCATCCTCAAAGCCCCTGGCCTCTAATGCTCCAGTTGACGACGAAGTGCTCAGGTTCGTCGGTGCGGTCTGGTGGTGCGCCGCCGGTGGTACACCCGACAGCAGCGCCACCGAGGGGCGCCACCAGTCACCGGCCGCGGTCCAGCCGCTCGGAGAGGATGTGGACGGCGCGTTGTGGTTCCCCCGAAAGTCCGGGAGAACCGGGAGCGGCCTTCATATGACGTGGTGGGGCGCAGCCCTCGGCGACGGGGAGCAACTCGAAGCGAGGCTCTGGACCGAGAAGTTGCTGTTTGCCGACGACGAGGACAACGACGCGGTGGCGGCAGTTGGTTTCGGCGACGGCGAGGACGTGGAGGGAGAGGAGGCGGCGATGGTCAGGTTGAGGCTACTACCGGGCCTCGAGGTCCTCTCGACGATTATGGGGGACGAGGTCGACGAGTAGCGGTCCGGGGACCTGTCCTCCTCGTGGGTGGCGGACGAGCGCTGGTGCCGCAGCAAAAGTACACCGCCCAAAGGATGTGTGTCGCGCGAGTCGTCGCCACACTTGCGGGACTCGATGCTGAACCGGTCGTCCTCGGGCCGAGCTGGACTCGGGAAGGGCCGTTCGTCTTCTGGTTTGGCCGACAGGAAGCCTGGCCTCTTTGTCTCCTTCGGTGGACTCGGGCAGCCGCAGTTCACCTTTGGGACACACCGGTATCGTCAATCACCACCAGAGCCACAACAACAAAAGCTCCTACCGAGATTCACGGGAATCGACAAAACAATCCACATGGCACAACCACGCCATTTTCACAAAGCAAAGTAGATAATTATACCCAATGCTTCAATTGACACAAATATAATAGATTCTGCTGGGGTTGTACTAAATGTGAAGAAACGCCGTGGACCTCAGCAATCGGGGGGAGGTAAACGTATAATTACGTAAACGAGCAATCAGTATACGTATATTATACTCACCGGCAGCGTGCAGTTGGGGGCGGCGAGGGTGGGCCAAGCCATGGCTTGGTGTCCGGCGTAGAAGCCCCCTCCGGAGCCGTAGATGGCTTGAAAGGCCAAATCAGCGGCCAGTTTGCCGTTGCTAAAGTCGTCGGCCCCGACCTTGTGCTGTATCGGATAGAGCGGGTAGGAAAAGTGCGGGAAGAACCTCGGCAGCTTGAGCTCGTCCGCGTGTGCACCGATCAGGGGATGATTGATCGTCGGGGGCCCCAAAGGCGGTGGCAACAGACCCCGGGATATCGTGTTCAGGTGATGGTGGTGATGATGATGTTGCTGCTGGTGGTGGTGATGATCGTTATTCGCCGAGGGCATCGCCAGGGGTGAAAGCGCGAACCCAAACTTGTTTTCCTTCTTAATGACCGATTTCGGCTTGCGCCGCGGACGGTACTTGTAGTCCGGATGCTCCTTCATGTGCAGTGCTCTGGAAATATTTGCATTTTTTTTTTTTTCTCGTCACAATAGCTGCTCTTTATGCATCGGGCAAAAAGCACCAGACACTCCACTTATCGCAAGAGAAAAAACAAACCTTCACGAAAGAGTCAACAAGCGCAATGGTGAAAACGCGTGTGTACGTATGTATACATCTCTGAAACAGACTCGAACATTGTCTCTCGCGGATGGAGAACGTCTCTTTTTTTTTTTTTAGTCTGTTTACCCAGAGAGCGGTGGATAACGAAAAAAAAAAAAAAAAAGAGCAAAGCGAAATGAGCCTGGTAGGCAGGTCTTACTCTTATCAAGAGGGGAAACGCTGCGCGTTAGCATCACCTTCGCAAAGAGAGAGGTCGCGTATCGAGATTATATACACGTAAGGCTTCTTCCTAGAAATTTTCACGCGGTCCTTATCGCGTGTGCCCACGCAGGTATACAATGTATGTATATGTGTATACAAGTGCGCGAGTGTGTGTACACCTAGCTATACTCGTTATCGCGGATTTTCGTTGTCTCCCGTTGTTGTTGTCGTCTTCCTTTTTGTACCCCGAAAAGAAGAAGAAGAGAACACGCCAAGACGCGGAGAACGAAGAAGAGCAAACAAGAGGTTTTTATCGAGTGCCTTTCCTCTCCCCCCGTCTCTTTTCTTTCTTTCCCTCCCGAAGCAACGATAACGCGACTCCGGCGACGATAACCAAAGCAAGTTTCGAGGCAAATATAGACACTCGGTTTTGATTCGACGATCATACGTATATACACGCGTATCTCTCGATAGTACGGCCAAGGGCAAAGTGCGTACATTGAGCGGATATCGGTGCGTGTATAATCTCGAGGCTGGCATTAACCTTGCGTTTGTTTGTCCGTTGATTCTCGTATATATGTGCACTTACACCTTGAAACTCGTCGATTGGGCCGCGCGAGATCGACGGTGGTGATTTTTGGTCCCATCCGAGTCGGTCATCTCGAATAAATGGCTCGTACGTTCAAAGGACACACTGCACTTGGTAACAATGGCCACGGAGGAGAAGAGACGCGGGGGTGCCTTTTATTCGCTCGTCAGTCGAGTTCACTCGAACACGCGCTCTCGCGCCCCCTTGCTCCTTTCTGTGTATCCCATTATGCGTAGTTCGGCAATGGTCGGGGCGAAAACCGAAACAAAAGTCCCGACACTCGTATGGTAAGGGGACGCCGAGTGTAACGACCCCTTGCCGGCTACTTTTGACCGTGAAAAATACAACCGGGGCCGTGACGTCGGGGCAGCAATCGGCGAGCAATTGCTTCGAAAACTATACTCGTATAATTGTTCCTATACGAGACGATCGGTGGGATCTTTTTAGACTTTACGAGTTTTCACTTTGACCTCGTAATGACGGAAAAGTAAGTGCAAACAGTCGTGTCGAGGCACGTTTACTTGGAAAAAAAAAATGGGAAAACCAAATCTGGGAGAATTTCCATGTGGCTACAACGACAAAAAAAAAAAAAAAGGAAAGAAAAGGCACAAAAACTAGGCCACGGAGAAGCCACGACTCACAGGTTTCACAATGACTCGGGTTTTCTCACATCCTTCGCTTCCATTCACAGCGTAGTCGCGGAGAAAAGCTCTGCCGTTCCATTCTCTTTATCTCACCGGGGTGGAAAAAAAAAAAAGGACCAAGACGTTGCGCATAATGGAGCATTATGCGGAGATATCGGGCGCGCGTATGTGCGTGCACGGCACACCTCCGGCGAGATATTTACAACAAACAGCCGGGTCGACGTTAGGAGAGATAAAAAAAAATAAAAGGAAACGAGGCGCTGAATGCGCGTTTGGTTTTTAATCTCGTGTCCGCCTCTCGGAAGTATTAAACGTTGGGAAGGGGTAAGGCCTGCGAGCGAGGAAACAGCGAGGCCTGTTGTTGGCTTCGATCACGCACCACTGGGTTACTGCTCTTTTTTAATTCACGCGCGACAAAATTCAAACTCGACTCTGCCGCGTACGCGTAAACACGCTTTTTACGCATCCTCCGAGCGCGTACAGGCTCCTTGGAAAAAAAAAAAAAAGGATCCATACGGGGAGTGATCCAGCGGTCGCGAGCCGAAAAAACAGACGCGGCGTTTATCGCAGCGCGCAAAGATTACGCGAATATGGAAGCCCCGGGGTGCACTCGATGTTTATGCATTTATGCTGAATTATTGTACCTGGGCGAGATAGGAGAGGGGGGGGGTAGGCGCACGCGTTCGCGGCTTCGGCGATGTTTATGCTGATTTACGCTTTGTGCTATCTGCCGGCGACACATTGTCCGGGAATTATTATTCCCGCTGGCAGCGCTGCTCTCTTTCCCGGCCGCCGATGCAATACTCCATAGTGGGTGGGTGTGTACGTGTTTGCGCTGGGGATGACTCTCTTTTGTTGTTACCGCGCGTCGTGGCTCTTGGTGCGGCCGTGCCAAAGTTCTCGCTCGACTCGGTGATTCGGTGATCGGGCGAGTTTTTAACTTTTTACCATTATTTTCTTCTCTCGGTACCATCCACTACTCCCCTGTACTAACTGGTCTTTTTTTTTTTTTTTTAAGTTTTTTTTTTTTTTTTGGAAAATAGCTCCGTCAGGGATGAAAAAAAAAGAAAAAAAAAAAAAAATCAAGCGTATACATGTATGAAATGGAAAACCCCATCCCAGCGAATGGCAATCAAATCGAAAGAGCCAGTGAATCGAGAGAATACACATATTTTTCACGCTCGTGCGTATTGGGGTGTCGGCGTGTGTATAGTGTCGAAAAATCGAGGTGCTCTCTTGAATCCTGATGGCTGATGATGGGGGGTCTTTGTCAAGTCTTGGTGCAGGACACCCTTCCCTTCTCTATCGCGCTTAGGGTCGGAGACGTGTATCGCGTTATGGTTCTGTTTCGCTTGGACCAGTGGATATTTACGTTTCAAGCGACGTTGGAAGCTTTGGGTAATTAGCGAAACTAGGATGTTTTCTTATGAAGGGGTTGTTTTTTTTTTTTAATTTATTTTTTTTTTGTTGAAGGATAACGTGTAAAATGTTGGAAAGAGTATTAACCGTAATCATTAGTATCAAATTTTATAATTTATCATTTTTTCACAACACACCTTCAGCACTCGAGTGGAAATCGGTAGTATTTCGGGCTTTACGGGAAAAAAGTTTTATTGGTAGTTACTTTTGTGATCCTCTCGTGATGGTATGATTTTTTCATTTTTTGTTTTACATTTGATTCAACAGTTTTGGGCGCAGTTGGATAGAGAAAAATACTTTTATTGCTCCAAATACATTCATTTTTCATTAGCTTAACCAGTACACGCTATACTGCGAATTTCACGAAAAAACTAATTTTGTTGCCGCAAAATCTTATTAGGCAACATAATTAATTTTGAGTAACAAAAATTTCTTGAAGTATGTAAAATCATTTTTTGAATAAATTATCCCACCACAAATCCAAATGTTATGCCTTTTTCCACCAAATGTCCAAACGCAGCGATTTTTCAACTCGGGCCTTAAATTGCACACCGGGCACTTGTATGTTGTCATTCAACACCAAGCCACCTCAACTACATACGAATGTAATTCTTTCACCGAAAGAACGAACCTCTCTGTAATACAGCAATAAAAGAAAAAAAAAAAAAAAAAAAAAANAAAAACTTAAAAAAAAAAAAAAAAAAAAAAAAAAAAAAAAAAAAAAAAAAAAAAACACCTCCCGGAGAAAGCGCAGCGTTCTCGAGCAAGTAAACATACACAAGCGCACATACTCGCACGCGCGTCCCTGAAAAGCATGGCAAAAAGAGAGCCAGAGCTAGGCGCCAAATCCTTTTAAATCCACACAATTGCGACAATGGGGCTTTATTTGTTATCTCGAGGGCCACATTGTGACTCCCAGAGAGAGAGAGAGAGGGCGGGCTAGCGCGCGTCTCGGACAGATTACAGTGCAGCGCCCGGCCCCCGAAGTAAAAGGGAGATACGGAGGAGGGTGCGCGCGAGCGTGACGACTACTCGCACGCGCGTCCTTCCTCCTCCTCCAAGAAGAGAGAAAGGCCGTGGCGGGCCTTTTCTTCCTCGCGACCGCCGTAAAAATGGATTTGGCAGCGAGCTCTTTTCCCTCCTTCGTCACGTGAAAGGGGTTTTTTTTTTTTTTTTACCTCCCCTTTACATCCCATACGCGCGTCAACCACGTATTATCCTGATTCCTTTCAATTTGTTTTTCGCCAGAGTTAAACCTTCTCTTGTTTTTTTTTTTTTTTCCACAACGCGCGTGTGTTTCCGACTATACATTACCAGTGCCGGGGCCCCTAAGAAGATTATAAGCGGGAGACGCGCCAAATATTCGACACCGCAGGATTTTTCCATTGTTTGGCTGGTTTTTCACGCGCGATTAGCCACAGGGTGTTTCCTTCCCCCCCCCCTGGAAAAGCACTGGTTATTTTTGCAAAACATTAACATTTGCTCGAACGCGACTCCGAAACGGAGCGCTCTCTTACATACATCTGTACAAAGGTATGTAGATTGTTCACGCCTATGCGGTTAATATATTACGTTTCACAAGCTACAGCCGTATTTTACACAATTGCCGATCGATCGGCACTGACGTGAATGGGACTCGGTGTTTTTTCTCGATCCATCTCTCGCCTTTTGAATAAAAAAAAAAAAATGCGCGTCCTTTCAATTTCCTGGCAAGACAGCCTCGAAGGAGGGATACGCGTATACCGGAGGGGGGGGGGGAGAAAAATCCTCGCACTCGGAGAATAAAGGAAGGATTTTCACTCACGATCGAAGTAAATACACACACGCAACATCCCGTATATTCGATTCGGGCTTACTTTCACGCTCGCGAGACTCTGCCCGGTGTCGCGCGCTATGACGCCGTGACTGCCTCTGGTGAGAACAATTCGGTGAAATACCAGGTATATAGATATGTAATCGGTTTACTCCTTTTTATTCCCCCGCCCCACACACACGTGAGCGAGGGAAATAAAAATACGTATTTCGCGTTTTCGTTTCCACTCGTATACGCATCGTCATGCAGCATCACCGCACACGAGACCTTCACGAGATATTATACATTTAAATCATAACAAAAAAAAGAAAAATCCACACGTAAACGATCCATAGTGAAAAACACAAAAGAGTCGCACGCGTTCCAGCCAAATAAACTCATTGCAGCGATTAAATATTCATGGCCGACAATAAAGAGCAGAGGGAGGGATGGGCGTGAGATAACTCAGGGGGTACAAATTTATATATATATATATATATAAGCTTTTATATAGCGTACTCGACCGACCGGGGCCCGTCCCCTTGTACATATGTATATTATATTCATTGTCTCGTGCACGCGACTTTAGATAAAGGACGCAACGCAGGAGCAGCTGGGGTTTATCAATTGCACCAACATTATGTTGTACGACGGAGCGAGGATGGACGCGTCGGGCGCAGAGTTGCGTGAAATTGGATCAAATTGATACGAATCGGGAGTGAAATTCATAAAAATGTATTGATAAAATCTCAAACCTGTGCAAATCGAAGTGACTTTCCCGCGGAGGAAGGGGTGTAAAAGAGTCACACGTATAGGCCCCGGAACGAGCGATAAAGGGATCGGTTGTGGGGGAGAAGGGGGGGGGGGAGATAGTCGCAAAACACCCATAGACACACACGCGTACATTACATATAGCTTAAGCAACAATGCACGGTATTATGAGCCGGTTGTAACTGTCGCTGCAGTGGAGAGGGCAGGCAGCCCCTTCTTTTCTCGCGCTGTATAACTTTCCAACCCCGTCGTATTATTGTTATCATTATTATGCTCTCTCACCCCCCCCCCACCCTCTAGTGAAATAATTTTCGTCTCTCTCGAGTGTACAAGAGCTGTGTAACTCTGTAGCGTGGGCTCCTAAAGTGCAATTAGTTCATGTGTATGTATGTACTTGTAAAAAAATAGAAAGAGAGAGAGAGAGAGAGTAGGATTCAAGGGGTTCGTCGGTGCGGTCCGATCAATCGGTACGGTGATTGAGCCACTTCTTAGGGGCTGGTAAATCTGCCCTTTGTGCTCGGGATTTGTTGTCGCTAATTTCATTTTCTCTCTCTTTCTCTTTTTTTTCTGGATTGGCCCTCACATTCAGTCGATTCTTTCGAACGAGGGTTTTGTTTGCTCGGTATTGCTCAAGATTATGTGGATAAGCGTTGGAAAAAATCACATGGTCACCGTAAGCCCGAGTTTTTGGTAATGAAGGACAATAGCCTCACCTCAATCGTTTGGCCTCGTCGATGAAGGGCCGCTTCTCACCTTCGCTGAGTAACTTCCACTCGGCGCCGAGTCGCTTCGATATCTCGCTGTTGTGCATCTTTGGGTTCTCTTGGGCCATCTTTCGCCGCTGTCCCCGTGACCAGACCATAAACGCGTTCATCGGCCGCTTTATGTGGTCGCTGTGTATCGCCTTTGACGACATATTTGCACTTTTTTTTAAATTTCAATCAAAAATAACCTCCTACTCCGACAACCGATCCGACAACCGGTTTTTGGTTAGTTTTACAACGACGGCGATTGTTCACTTTTTCCGCTCACCATCACCGCGCACCTGCGCGCTTCTCTTTTTTCGCTTTCATGTTCCAATGACTTTCCTTTTTTCCCACTACTTTCCTAAAAAACCAAGGAAAAACCTGTTGAGAGTAAAAAAAAAAAACACCCATATAGTACAGAAAAGAAAAAGCAGGTATTATATATTTACCTCAGTCCATGCCCAAGATGGGACGCGCAGCCAAATTCTCCTCGATCGGATGCAACTGGAACGGCACTCGAAAAACAACAACAACAACAACAACAACAACAACAACAACAGCACCAACACTGTATGCGGAGGCTTTTGAAAGGGAAAAAGAAAAGAGAAAAAAAGAAACCGCAACAATGGTCCAAGTCAATAAGCACCCATCGGACACTCAAACTTCGCGGCAAAGAACCAACTCGGTGCAGAAGCGGAGTCGAAGTTGGAAGGTATACCCTTGGCGCCTGTGGTCCTCGGAGCGCTGGCGCCCCTTCCACCCTCTCGCCTCCCCCTCTCTCTATTCCTGCGCCACTCGAGCACGAGAGTTCGCCTCGCGTTCGCGAGGGTGGCACGGCACGAGAGCCAATGTCGGCGGCTCCCCACTCGGTATTCGCGGCGCGCCATTGGCCGGGCTCCGGGCGCATGGCGGATCGTCTCGGGTGACGCAACAGGTAGGACCTCCATCTCTCTCTTTCTTGCCCCCGTATAGGTATATACGTGTATGCATCTCCTTTTTGCTGCTGCGTGGGATTCGAAGGCGTGATATTATATGTGCTTTTGTTTGTTTGTTGGTTTTTCTCGAGTGTGTGTGTATATGGTGGGCCACTGCACATCACCCCCTGTGTGTCGAGTGATTAGTAGAGATTATCTCATTACGATGTAGGTATGGTAGCCGGATTTTCATGGCTAAACCAACGAGTGTTATTTATGCTGCTGTTTACACCACTGACATTTTTTTTTTTTTTTCTTTTTCGAAGCTACAATACTTTTGGTATTGGTTCTAAATACATTTTTTCACCTGTAGGCAACAGCTATCAAAAGCTACACTTTGTAGATCCAATACATAATTGTGGAAACAGGTGTGAGCGGTATATTAACCTATAGTGTTTTCCACCTTGAAAACATTTTTTGTCTCGTTAAGAAACATTTTAATTACGTAAAAGCAAAAAAAAAAAAAAAATCAGTTCAAACTATTTGGTCCCATTCCAAAGGAATGACAATAGAATTATCACGTGTAATTACTGTTATCGTTCGATGCACAATAACGTGACGTGACAGTCACGCTTTACGTACAAAAGTAAAATTTTTCGCATAACCACTTGTTTATTTACTCCAGACCGTGCACGCTAATGCAGATGCCAATCAATTAGTACACACACCCACGAGATCGAGCAAACGATAGATCGGGGATTAAAGTGCGCGTGTAATCGACGGGGCGTGGCGTGGATAAACGCCGAGAAAGAGGAGGGAGGGCAGCACGCGATGTGTGTGCTCACTTGCGTTTTCTCGCTTTGGCAGAGATAACAATCCGAGGGTCACCGAGTCAAAGGGGAGTTCAAAGGGGGGCGGTCGTGTCGCTGCAACATAATCGAAGGGGAGTTTATACTACTGCCACGTACATCTGCGTTAATTTTATTTAAAATTTCGAGGAGAACAGTGCCGATCGCCGAAAATAAATCATATTCTTACGAGTTGACCCCCTCCGACTGCGTATGTGTACACGACGAGGGGTGGTATTCAATAATTTTTCAGCCGACCAAAAGTACCCGAAATAGCGCACAAGGCGAGATAAAGAAGTTAGTTTATATCGGAGTGGAAATATACAGGGTGGGAAGGGACGACGGCACGCGACCGCCTGATTATACCATTCATCGACGCGGATAGCGCCACGGGTCGGGGGTGAGAAAAAAAAAAGAAAAAAAAAAAAAAAAAGTAGTTTGGCTATCGTTGCCAGTGTCACCTCTTCCTCATCGCCCCTCCCCCCACCGCTTGTTTTCCCCGCAAATGAAAGGGAAGAAGGAAAAAAGCGAGCAGCCAGAAGAACGCCTCGATTGTGCGCGTTGAATGCCCGCTCATCAATGCGCGATACTTGTACACGTTGTACCTATACTCTACGCGCCGCCTTTTTCGATGGTTTTACTTTTTCGTGTCTTTTCTTTCGTTCTTTTTCATCGAGATAATGTATGCCATGGGTGTAGGGTACACGAGACACGTGTCCGATGGTCGAGTTTTTTTTTCACAAGTACACCGTGAGGGCGTGAACAACGATTTGATTACACTTTGCACAAAGGCTCGCTTGAAGGACCTTGAAATATTTCCTTTTTTTTTTTTTTTCCATCACCCATTTGATTTTGTAAACAGCAACGAAGCTTGTCGGCGTCATCGCTCCGCGCGTGGCGTTTAGTCGAGGTGATGCACGGGGGGGGGGGTGACAACTACCGGGGGCACAAAGAGGGTGTACCGAGCGGGAGGAGAGGGACAGGCGTCTCCGTCGAAAAGCGCGATGCTGATTACGCTATTGTCGCACGGGGTCCATGGACCGGGTTGTTTCAGTTAATCGCGAGGCCCGGCCTTTTTGTTTTTCCCTTTTGTTTGGCCTGTACCTTTCTCTTTTTGAGTATCGAGCTGTATATACTGTACGTTGCTGCTTTTTCAGTGGGTTTTCACTTTTTTTTCTGTATAATATTGAACGACGTCGTTTGATCGGCTAAACTGTTAGTACATTTGTTGACAGCAATTTTTTTTTTCTTTTTCCAGTTTGAGCATATTATAAGCAAGGACACGAAATTTGCATTGAAAACTTCTTTTTGTATGTTTTCACCACAGCAATTTAGTGCATTGTCACGGTCTCAGTAAATACTACTTCATAAAAAAAAGTTCAAGTTGTTGTGTATAATGACACGTTTAATATATTGCGGTAGCTGAGAAGGAAGAAGTCCAGAAAATCTCGCACATGTATTTTATTTTGTTCCGCTGTCGATGATCACGTTCGGATACTATAAGAAAATTTTCATAAGATAATTTAATATTTCGTATCACAATTTTAATACTCAATATGTTTAAAATCGCTTCCAACATTGGAAACTACGTTTTGAAATAAAATTAAGTGAAAAAATGATAATATTTTTTTATCTAATTTCATGTGGTCCAATACTAGTTTTGTATACTCCACAAAAGCATATTAAGGGCTGCGATATAATGGACAAAGAAAATAATTGTAATAACAAAAATCGATACCAACAGCAGCTATTGTCCTATTTTATTGTCATTTGACTCAACTATTGTAATTTTATTTTTTACTTTTTTGTGTGGAAAACAAAATTCCATTATAGCTTATCTTTGAAATATATACTTGATGTCATACGTTGTTGATTTTGATTATGCTCGGCACACATCACGTCTTGGGACAAGAAGATATATCTTATCGTATCTTTGAGACTATTAGTGTAGTGTGCACTTTTGTGCAGCAGTAACTCGAGATGTATAAATACTAAATATTATTTTTCACTAATAAAAGATAATTTAAAACTAACAGCACTCTACGCTCAAATTTGTTATTTTAGGCATGATTAACATGGTTTTTTACTAATTAGCTGGTAATATTGGTAATATAAATCTTATATTGTTAAATCAAGCTTTCTTTTCTATCTTGTTTGCTTGTCTTGAAAAAAAAAATAATAATAAATAAATAAAATTGAATAAATTAGTGGAAGTTTGTCAGTTTTCTAAACATCATGTGAAAACTAATTATAATTATTTTTTTCAAAGTTTACTTCTGTAAGATTTTTCTACAGCTTATTCTGTTGTAAAATTATGTGCAAAATAATTAATAAAATTGAAAAATAGTGGGTGAACCCTATCATTACAATTTTCCGATTATAACTAAAACCCAAAAATTCAAACAGAATTTCTTCGTAATTACGAAAATGAAGAATCTTGACGTAAGCTAGATTTTTACTTCTGAAGCTCTTTATTTTTTTTTCTCCATTTCCATTTATGGATGAAGAAAGTGAAAAGTCATAAAATTTGATTTGATGTTTCTCTCCGTTTTTAGTACCAAAAAATCGCATTTTTCCGTATTTTTTCATATACGATCATCCCAAACTGAGGAAAAACTGGAAAAATCATAGGACGAATCATCAATGTCAAATATTCAATCAACAATACAGACGAAAAAGTAGAAACTTTGTACACCGGACAGGCGCATCGAAAGACACCCAAAATAATAAAAAAAAAAAAAAAAAAAAAAAAAAAAACGACTACTTTCAAGTAAAAAGCTTTCACCATAATATGAATTTGTCCAAAAAATTTCCCTCCCCCGGTATTCCCATCAGCCAACAAGTAACAGTTCATCAGATTTGAATAAACCCCTATCCCCGAACTATCCTTACGTAATTTATGAACGACCCTTTGTACATAGTCTATTTTCTATCTATTCTGCTCCTCACTGCTTTCTCTCTCTCTCTCTCTCTGATAATATTCGAGTCACACAACGGCCAGTGGCACTATATTGCTCGTATACGTACATACCCATCATACATATATATCCATACACGACACACCGCACCTACACATCCACCCGCATACACAATGTACGCGCACCAATCGTGTGTGTATAAAATACCAAAACCACCTTCGCCCGACCCCACCCACTATACCATACGCACACACACGCATATATATGATGCAACATATACACCTATGCTACATGTGTTCGGCGAATAAGTTATTGTGACGTTGCGCGCACACTTCTATTTTGATATTCGCCGACCTGCGCGGAATGCGGAATATATCCACCGCGCTCTGTACCATTGAGTTGGGGGGGGAGAGAGAGGGTGTTTCTCGGGAGGTGCATGACAGAGGCCTCACCCCCTCCCACCGCTCACTCTCCCTCAAACAAAGTGAAA